GCTGGCATAATTGGAATATTGTACATGAAAATTTGAAAATACAGCAAAAGATGATGCATTAATCATAACATGATATGGCATGAGAGTGACATCAATTTTTGAGGTCACGTAGATCACGTAGCATGCAATTATCATCGATCATTTCCAATCTACCAGAAATATTTTTAGTCCTTCAGCTAGGTATATCTTATTTTGAATGAAAGGAACACACATTTCGATATTCCTTCTAAAATTCTGAGTTTAGACAACCTGATTTTGGATTAACACAGTTTCGACTTACACCACGAGAGCTTCAATTATATCCCATACAGATATCCCATATAGACTACAAAACACCAGATCAACAGAAAATCTAAATATGCCTTTCCCTATCTTCAAAAAATCACATACACAAAGAACACTTATCTACTTCGGTCCCAAATTATATAACTTACTGCCTAGGAACATAAAAGAAAAAAAATCACTTAGTCAATTCAAATATGAAATAAAAAACTACATTACCACAAATTACACTACATTAATAAAAATATTTTGAAAAAAAAAATAACCCATCCAGCTCTCAACCTCTAACTCCCGACCTACACTTATTATTATAAATATCTTTTCTCAAACCACACATATAGTACTACAGCAATCCTGACAATCCTGAAGACAGAACAAAACAAATGCTTCAAGCATTTAGGTTAGCCTCCAGGATCTTGTGAGGGTTCAATAATAATGTGAACTAGTACAAGACTGTACAATGGTATGATAGATACGAATTCCCATGTCCACTCACACCATGTAGGCACACAATACCATTCCGACAATCCTAGATGCAGAACAGAGCAAGTGCCTCATGCACTTAGGTCATGCGTCTCGGATATGGAAGAAATTAATAATAATAATAATATTTAACTAATATATGGGTATGTATATGTATGTTTGTTATCTGATTTTCACCATGTAATGCAATTTCAATTCAATAAATTTCAATTTCAATTAAAAAAAAAAAAATATTAGCGGCAAGATTTGCGAGAACACGAATATTTTGAAAATTATTCCGAGTCGAAGACGCAGATTATAACAAAACAACAAATTAGTTGCGTGCAAGAACTGTCAGATGACCAACCCTGGAGTTGAAACACAACCTCACTTTTGTTTACAAATGATTGAGATAGTTTTTCACAATTATTTTGGCATACGAATCGAGTTTTTCGGCTATTCATTAATTCGAGCATGCCATCACTTTGTGCTGTTGTATATAATGCACAAAAAATGCAGCAAGAGACGAAGGAATCCGGTTGGTACATTATGAAATAAAAGTATTATAGTCACTCACATATATTTTTCATTTTGAAATTTCGTAATTTCTTTGATTTCTCATCGGAATTGCTTCTGCAATAGGAGCTAATAGAAATACTCGTTTTACTTGAGTGACGCATTTTAGTTTCTTCACAAATTCTGGTGCAATAACTTTCCTACACACCTATTCTCTTTATTTCATTTACCCTGCCCATTCCTGCCGCTTATTGCGTTGTTCGAAATATAAGGCAAACTTTTCTTGTGAATAAATTTATATACCTTGACTTTGTTACAAAACTGTTGAAACAGTAAGATGAATAAAGCATACGTCGAATGAGAAGAGAATTTGGCCCCATTTATATGTAAATCGATAGAATACAAGTGAAAAGGAATTCAATTTTTCTGTTATAGTTAGTTATTCAGTGTGTGTTTTCCAGCTGTAGAAATGCTGACTTCGAGAAATTTTCACCCCATTCAGACAAACGAAGGATTGTGATATACGAAACTCAGGATATATATGGGCTACATTAGAGAAAAAGCTGAGAACAGAATAAGCCAACAGATATTCCAGTTGACATTCGAGGAGTGTAGTTCCAACATTGTTATCTCTGAATAAATGAAAACTTCTGCGTTTTTTCCATGGCACATAAGGAATTCTTATTATAATAGTGCGTGTATAGGCTGGCAAGGGGGAGAAGGATGATTTGAATAGAAATATATTTTGTTGAATTTCTGTAATTTTCATGATTCCAAAAATTCGCCTTTTCATGAGGTAACAAGTTCTCCCTTTCATGAGATATTCTTGTTTATACATAGGCGTCGAAGTTCGTATGAAGTACGCAAGTGATCCTTTAAATTCGAAACACATTTCTATGTGAACTATGTGAACCCGCGTCTACAGTATCAGTCGAAAAAATTACAGGAATCCATAGGCGGCCAATACAAAAGTTGCATCATCCCTTTTCAAAAAATACCAAGCCGATTTCGATTAGAGAGCATTTCTTCCTTTAGTGCATATATGCGTACGAAGTATATACACTATACAGGTTTTCGACCGGATTCAAAAATTCTTGATATTCTTTACAAAATTACCAAAGAAAAAACAGTTTCGTCAAGTTCATTGTTAATTCTAAATTTGTTTGTTGTTCTAAATTGTTCTTATCCATCATTCGGTTGCCCCCTTACGAGCAACCCTCAGAAGTCTTCAAGAGACTTGTGCAAGCAAGGAATGACGGGGGTGTGATCCCAAACACTTTCTTAGGCCATCAGAAAAATTTCTGTGGTCGTGGTGGGAATCGAACCCGCACCTACCTGCAATCCAACGTGGATAGAACATTGCCGCTTTAACCTAGAGGCTATACGCTGGCCATAATTCTGTATTGAATATCAATAAATCTGATTTTTTTAAATATCTTTAGGAATGATATATATACATATATCCTTTATTTGTGCTTGCAAAAAGTAATTGAACTGAAAATGAATCGAAAAGAGCTTGCTTATTGAAATTTTACAAGGAATATCCTTTTTCCCGGATTCAGAAACTAATTTAGGGATGTACATCATCATAAAAAGTGTGCTGAATTTGAATAGGACATCTTTATTTCCTCAATACGAAGGCGTAAAAGGACCACCGCAATTATTTTTCATAATTTCGACTTGATATCTCGGAATTATTCAATTGCGACTTATTATGTCGGAATTTCGACTTATTATCTTCGAATTTATTCAATTCCGAATTGTTTTTCAATTTCATTAGTAATGAGGTTATATAAGTTCTTGGTAATATCTCATTTGACAAAGAATTCCACAGCTTTGCCGTTCTTTAGTGCTTCTATGCAAACTTGAAATTTTGATGAATTGAAAATCTCAACCAATCAAATAAAACCATGCTCAATTAGGGTATTCATGCATTCCAAACGAATATCATTACTGTAGAAGATGGCCAACATCAAACCAACACCGAGAAAAGTCCAGTTATACATGTCTCTATTTAAAAACTTCTTATAACCGCCAAATGAAACATTTTAACCACGAAATGTCATCTGATGAACGTAAAAAGTTCACGTTTTCAACGTGGAACAGGTCACCCTTTCACATCACTCTTTTTGTTTCAAAAAAGTTATCTTTTAGATTCGAAATGGGACAAGATTGTTAAATGATGGAAATTTGAAGATAATCATTTAAATCCTAAAAGATGTCATTTCACAGTTATACAATTATCATTTAATTTCATCCCTTCTATCATTTTCCATCTTTGTCATACTCGTTTACCTCAATGAGTCATCTCACTCACCTATGAACACTTGTTCGATGAGAATCGTTAGTCGTCTCCGGATTCCTGATATGAAAGGACATATTAGCTCGCGGCAGCTCGTGAACTCTTCTTGCTGAATGATATTTTTTTTTCGAAAAAGTGAAGTGGTTGACAGATCTTCTAGAAATATTAGGGTTGTTGAGGAACTACAGAATGTTGAACTGCCTCTGGGCGTTATAGTGTTTTCACGATATATTGTATTGTATGTATCGGAATGTCAAATTGGAAAAACTTTTATTTTTTTCACTCACCTCACTATTCAGTAAGTGGCAAAAGCTTGGATTTGAAGAGTTTTATCGGTGATAGATTGTATTGCGTATACATTGTGTCCAAGATTAATGATTACTATCATGGGGATCTCGAAAACGTCGTAAGAAAAGTCTCTCAACGCTCTTTTGTAAAGCTCAAGTGGCAATAACGGTAAATAAAATAAAACGAAATCTGCGAATGTGCAATGTGAACTCTAATTTAATGACGATACTGTGTAATTACATTTTTGGCCACTATGTTTAATCCAATGCACTGACAATGAGAACAAATAGTCCAAATTCCAAATTGGAAGCATTTTTGTCCTACACAAACTGATATATTGTAAACTGAGTATATCGTCCTTGTGATGCACTTCAATGCCCTGTAGTTCCCCAAAAAAACTTTACTTGGGGGTAAGTATATAAACCAAATATATATGTCTTCAATATTTCTCGAAGAGTTTCAACTCACTTCATTTTGCTGGAGAAAAATTAATCATCCTAATACTGAAATACCATACAATCATTTGACTATGAAATTGAAAGTAAATTATATTGATATGAGTATTATTTCATTTTTATAATATTACTATTCAATATTTATATGCTTTTTATTTGACTATCAAATTGAAAACAAGTCAAATTTATATGAGTATCTTCTCATTTTTATAATATCATCGTATAGCATTGAAATGCTAGTCATTTGACCCCCATATGAGTGTCATTTCATTCTCATATAAGTGATATTTCACAGTTATATGATTTTTTTGAAATGATGAACGTGATTACAGTGAAATGGGAACTATGCTGGCGCCTATTCAATTCAGAAATCTTTTAATGGTTATACAATTTCGTATAACACCAAATAGATATTTCTCTCGGTGAAGAAGACCGCAAAGCTAGCTCAAATTTAATATTATTAGTATTGACACAGGTACTGTATATTTTGTCGTGACTTCTATCATCGTTGAATGATACATCCGAGGATACATCCAATAAATTGACTTGTATATACAAAAATCGAGGAGAAGGACGTTCGATCGTCCAGAGTTTGATAATAAGGAAAAATGCGAGTCCTCAAGAATGTTTTGCGCACAATGTCAAAGAGGTAGAAGGGAAATAGGAAAGATTCGAGAGCAGATAAATTCACTTACCGTTTCGCCGAATGGATCTGGCTCCTTCATACCATCTCTCTTTTCGGATGTCTTCCCTGAAAATAGAAGAAAAAAAGTGATTGAATTCGGATATAAACTCGAGTTACAAAATATATAGGATGATTCAAAATTCGATGTAAATATTTTAAGGAACTATTATTTGTTGGGATCAAATTGAGACTTTTCCTTCATATAAACATGTGTCCTATAACGCACCCCATTTCGGCAAATAAAAGTGAGAACCTCCCTCCGACAGCCCCCTCCCCCCCAAAACTGGGTTTACATAATTTGGAAGAGAGAATGAAATTAAGTGTCTAAAAGGACAGGGGCCTGCCAATTTCCAGAGGATTTGATCCGTTATTTTAGTCACAATATCTGAATATCTTTTACCTAACTTCCTTTCCTTATTGGTAGTCTCATATGACATCAAAAACATTTTTCATCGATATAGTGAGGATATTAATATATTTTTTTAAACAGTTGATAATATTTAAAAAAATGTTGTTAATTCTTAAGATAAAGTCCCTTTGAATCACAAATCTGGAGTTTATTGTATTTCTTGTTCTGATCCAAATTGCAATGCTCAATATGTTGGACAAAATGGTAGGAAAATTTCAACCAGAGTTACAGAACATGTTAAGATCATCGAAAAATCCAAGAATACACCCTTTTTTTTATGAATATATGATACCAAAAGTTCTTTCGCCAACCACATCATAGTTTCACGCCATAATTTTGACCCAAATCAGGATCTTCTAATTCTACATATCTGTCCAAAACTAGGTTATTGAATTTACTGGAAATTTTCGAAATTAACTCTTCCTTAAATAATAATTATGTCTTGTCTCTCAATGAACAAACACATTTTGACTGTATTGAATTTTTCAAATCTTTGGATCATAATCGCTGTTAGTTCACCTACCTTGGTCTCAACTCTTATTCCTTGGTATTTCATGGTCAATGGTTTTTCAGGTTTGCTCAACTCTTCCCTACATGCATCCCTCCTCCTACATCCACATTCTTTGAGTAGTTGTATTAGCTATTGTTATTGCCTATGCTCATGCGTCAGAATTTCATGTTTTATCCCTTGACATTAACTTTGACTTATGTCAACGTCTTGCCTACGTCATAAATTGACATTATTTTCAGTGTTTTGTAACCAAATTAGTTTAGTGCTGGCTGTTTGCCCCATCAATTTCATTGATACTTTCCTCAAGCAGCGCTTTCATAAGGGCACGGGGAACCCCTTTTTCAATAAACCCGTTGATTTATGGTGTTGTCAAAACGAACCTTTTGGCAATACCCATATACCATTTTGGTATATAAAATTTCAATGAAAATAATAGTATGCGCTCTCAGGGCACGGAGCCATTCACTTCAACTTTTATTTTGTTTTTGTATTGTACAACTTTCAATTGGGCTGAAGATGGTCTTTTATAAGACCGAAACATGTCCCTTATGATTATGTAACAACACCATTAGAATCAGATCCTTCCTTTGTAATTTACAGTAGCTGTAGCTTGGTGGGGGTGAATTTTTGGACACATGTTATTCATATAAGGAATAGGTCTTTTCTTTTGATCCCAACAATATGTCCTCAAAATATTTACATCGAATTTTGAATCACCCTGTATGAGTGTAATTTGAAGGTATAGGTATAGGTATGGTATATCCAAAACCAATTGCAGAATATCTAGCACTGTGAGTGCAGATGCGGCACGAAACTCTCCAATTGTTTTTGGATAAACTTCACTAACTCCCAGTTTACACAGATTGATTCCAGAGATATAAGAGGGCATCACATTCATGCCACACATCACATCTGTGACTCGAATTGAGGGTCCCACTGAAATCACGATAACCCTATTGGTCATTTTATGATTCATTTCATGATGCCAAATCAAACTTACACCACGTGTTGAAGCGACTTCTCATTCAGCATCAAAATATTGATTCCGATTGTTACATCAATAGACACGAATGTGAGGTTCCAGTAAGTCTCTTGGTTGTTAGGGAGCTTCACAAATTCACCTACATTATAAGCCTCAAATCCAATGAAATGTGAAGAATATTGCGAATGTTTTGTAAAATAAGGGGTCCCCTGGCAATACCAATGGTGTTTGCTTGTGATTCGCATTGTTACCTAGGGAGACATGGATGTGACATCCCAGGGATGTTTGTGTTTACTGGGATTTTTCTATATGTAACAGTTATTATATGTGTATATTATAGGATTTCTAAACACCATTATGATCATCTCAAAGTGGTGATGGCGGCCATTCCAAGATGGTGGATGCGTTAAACATTGGAATAAACGGCCATATATCTGCATATATTCTGCACGAATTCAAGATTCAATAAATATTTTCGATATTTTCAGTGGTGAATTAATGAAACATGATTAATCACCTATTGCTATGAAAGCACAATTTCTCATTATGGATCGCCTGAGAACACCAAGATTCCTGGAAAAGATACTTCCATTGGCAAAGCATTCCAAAGTGTTGTTCGACATATTTCAAGGTTGACAACGATGTGCCGACTGGGCTTGTCGAGTTCGTCTAACTGGTATTGCTAGTGATCGAAATGTAGCAGAGATTCAATATAACATTATATATTTGACCATTTTGTTCTCGTACCCATTGTTGATTGTCACTAAACTTACGCTGCATGTACTTAAAATGACAATTGAAAAATGGATAGAAAAAAGATTACTTATGGAAATATGTATACCCTGTATCTCGAAAACGAAGCAAGTTAGGACACATGTTTATATGAACTTTATTTCCTAAAATATCACAAGAAATCACCCCTTGACTTTTTTATTTAAATACACCCTGTATGTCGAAATATTTATCTATCCAAAGCCAGTCAGTGGCATATCCTGGGGAATAAGGGATGGTATACCATGACCATATTCCCTAAGTACCTACACCTTAGAAACAGCAGGAATAAAAAACATTCAAACCTGTTTCAATTTCTTGAACAAAATGATGATAAGAAGAGCAATGACATAAATGAGATAATTGTTCATTTTTTCAGCTGGAATATTGGAAGGAAAATTAGTTAGCAAAAACGACCTTGTCAAATACAGTATGATACTAAGCCTCCAGATGGCACAAGCAGGTTTGGTTCAGACCATCAATAGTGTAAGTAGCCAACTAGTTAGCAATTTGAATAGTCACCAGAACACTTTAGTATCTCATCTAAGTGAAAGGGCAAAACAACTGGAGGAAGATAAATAGTGTAATTATTGTTTATTAAATAGAACATAATAATTATATCACATCTATTTTTTCCCTTTCATACTCTTGCTTTTTTCTTACTTCAGCGTATTCTTTTTGTCCTTTGTATCCTTGGTAGTCTTGACAGATTCATATTTGGCAACTATATCTGGCTCAAGATCGTAATGTAAGAAAAGAGCAAAGTTTGGCAGTGAGAGGAATCTTATTAGGGGTAAAAGTTCCTCAGGTACAGCTTGCAGAACAATTTCAATACCATATACATATATGTATATGAATTATGAGGTATAGGACAGAATACTACGAGAAAATAAAAAATAATATGAAGTGTAGGTAACCACTTGAATCTTTCATTTCACACACAAAAAAGTGTTCAGCATCAATAATTTCTAGTGAAGAGATCAAGTTGATTCCGCTCCTAATGAGAGAAAGCAGGGTGTACACTGAATATTGAACTAAGTATTATTTGCATATTTCTCAGTTACATGAGTTTCTCAATTCTCGTCTGATGAATATCAGAATTATATAGGGTGGTCACAAAAAAACCGGAAATTTTTATTTTCCTCGTGGTTTCATCATTTCTCAACCAAATTCGAATGTCTTGGCGTCGTTTCATAGCTAAAGGGCAATAGTATACAGTGAAATATTTGAAAATTTCATTGTGAACAAAAACAAAATGGCGGATTCTACCAAAGTATTGTCATTTACAAAAACCGCTGGAGAAAAAAAAAATCAGATTTTTCCCAACCTGTACCGATGTCATCTTAGGCTATTCATTAGAATGAGTACTCGAACATCGAAATCGAACAAATAGTCCAGTATACACTCATTTCTTTGCAATTTGTTATGGAGTGAATGTGCTAATCTCGAAGAAACGATTATTATTATTTTGCTTCAGGATTCATGAAAATTCAATTGAATTTGGATTTCTTAGAGTTATTTCAAAGATAAAGAACTGTAGTACACAAAATGGAACATTTGAAAATCCAATAATTGAAACAAACAAAATGGTGGAGTACCCAGAATTCTTGATGTGAATTTCAAATATCTCTGGCGGATAAAAAAATTTTCATTGTTTCAGTCGGGACCGATACAATTTTTGATTATTGATTTCTTAAAAGAATGAGCACTCGAACATCTGAATCGAACAATTAGTCCAGGAGAAACACGTTCTTTTTGGCAAAGTGTTATGGAGTGAATGTGCCAATCCCGTGATAAGAATTACCTACTTTTAGTTCGCTCCTGGCTTCATCAGAATTCAATCGAATTTGGATTAATTAGTACGCAGTGGAACATCTGAAAATTCCATAATTGCAAAAAAATGGAGTATCCCTAATTTGAGTGATTTTCAAAAACCGCTAGCGAATAGAAAAATATTGATTTTTCAATTCAGTACCAGAGTAATTTTATATCATCAATTTCTAAAGAGAATGAGAACTTGATTTAACAAATAGTTCAGAACTTATACGCACTTTTTTGCAATGTTATGGAGTGAATGTGCCGAAAAACGAACTTCTAAAAATATATTTCCATCTGATTGCAACATACCAACAGCAACAACAACATAACATAATTCATTATTTGAATTTATAGGATGGTACTCATGTGCATACGGCACGCGCAACTATTGATTATCTCAATAACATGTAATGAAGTGTTTTTGACAAGCTTCATTACTAGACTGGTTTTGATTAAAATCTAAGTACCTGAGCCTGATTCTAGTTGAATTTCACCTGTTCGAAAGCTCGAAACCTGGAAACCTGAGAGAGCTGAGTAATGCAT